GACATTCAGAGGCCCAATGGCTGTGTGACATTCAGAGGCCCAATGGCTGTGTGACATTCAGAGGCCCAATGGCTGTGTGACATTCAGAGGCCCAATGGGTGTATTTTCTATTTTTTTCTATTTAACTATTCTTTTTATTTAACACAAAAATATATATATGATTTATTGACACCATTTTAAGTTGTGCAAAACAAATAAATAATATTATGTTGACTATCTCTGCGCCTTCTAGCGGATCACTATATCTCCCTTGTAAACTAGTATTAGAGTGTAAATCAAACTGAGGAGTGGGCTGTTGATTTCTGATTAAGATGTTTATGTATCATATGTGTTTCACTAAACTTGTAGGTTTTAAGAACAAAGGCTGTATAATTTACCACAGTATTTTTGTAGAAAAAAGAACAAATAATTTTATCTAACACGAAACTTTAATAGTATTGATAATTGATCATTTATTGATTATTGAATTTCCCATGTGCTTCTACTGTTCTAATAATGTTCTTCGCACATTCGTATAATAGAATTGCTCAATAACGTTGCAATTGCAGATTCTTTCTATTAAATGAACTTGAAAACTGACAATTTTATGCAATTTTAATACAGCATTCAATAATACCACATTCAGCGTTTTTGAATTGCAACACCGTTTGGCAATTTTAAAGGACTATCAAGGTTTTCAAAAGTCACGCTTGGCGACCGCCTGACGTCAGAAGCCTCTTAGTGCATCTTTCTTTCCTCTAGCTTGTTATTTTTCATAATTATATTTTTAACACAACTTTGAACCCAGGAGCGACCCGCAAGTAACGTTCCAGCGTTTTCAATTGCTTCACGACATTTTGCTTTACCGACCCCAGCTAAAGTTCTCTTTCTGATGGCATTATGAAATTCAGTCATAACAAACTCTTTTTGAGCTGCCGTCCAAGTTGTGTGCTTGCAGCGCTTTCTTCCAGTTTCTTTAACAGATTGTTTTCCAATGGCCTTGTCTGCACAATTTTCTTCCGGAACATCTGAAGCACCCACAGTGTCAGTTGTCTCTTTTTCAGTAGTGATGTAATCGCTCTCTACAATCTCGCCATCGTCATCATTATCATCAATAGGATCGGTGTCTTCTCTCTCTCTTTCTGAGGTTGGCTAAGTTCTTCCAGACTGATGTCACTTAATTTTTTCCAGCATATTTGTAAACATCTCCTTTATCTGCAGCGATTAAAAGTTTAGCAACTTTTGCCAGTTCAACGTGTTCCTCTCTCAACCTATAGAAATTTCTATGCACACGAATATCGTGGCCCATGTGAGATGCAAGCCAGTCCATTTCGTTTTCATTCATGTTGATTATCTGTGACACAGTAGCAACATATTTCCTTAACCGTGTACTTGTAAGCGATTCAGAATGAGTCAGTCCAGCACTTTTAACAGTATCTGCCATAGCATTCCATCCACGCATGTTATTAAGACTTCCTCTCTGCATTGGAAATACATATTTATTCTGTGGATGTACGCCAGCTTTTGCCCTGACTGTTGTGCTTACAGACACCGCTTCTGCTATAACTGGAGTTAGAATAACAGGAACAGTTCGTTCTCTTTTTCCTCTGATGTGAAGAATTTTTAACCTTGAACTTAATTGCTGTTCTACAGGTGAAAGCATGTTAGCGATATCCTGATTCACAGTGCTAGCAACTCGGTCAGTGAAGTCTGTGATCAACATTTTTCCAGTTTCTCCAGATTTTCTTTTGTTAAATGAAATCAAACTGCTAAGAGTCAGCTGGGCGAACTCCTTAAACACTGAAGTGCAGGTTTCTATTTTCTTTGCTTTGACCATTAAGAGAGGTATATTCTCTGTTAGAAACGACTGGAATTTCACAATATCACTAGTGACAGGTAGGATAGTAGGTCTTCGTTGTTTCTGGACGTTTAGTGTTTTCAGTGCAATAGAACTGACTTTCTCTGTGTATTCCATCTCATAAAGTCGAAGAAAATCATTTGTCTCTTGTTCACCTTTCTTATCCTTTTCTCTAATGTACATACCTATTCTCTCATGAGCACAGCGTTTTAGTAAATAACCAATCTTTAGAGCTAAGGATGGTATGCCGAACCTTGGTACAGAAGTTTTCTCTGACGCTAACTTGCATTCTTCTGTTACTGCTTGCACAATCTTATCAAACATATCTGGCTTTATTATATCTTTCAAGTAAAGGTTTTTATTTCCTTTCTATAACTAACAAAGTTTCAGAACCAATCGAGCCAGTTCTCTCATTTTAGCTCTAATGTACCCTGCTTGATCTGGTCATTTTTGTTTCAGCATGTTTGTACCCAATAGCGTTATCACCTGGTCTTTCCTGCAAACTAATGATATAGCATCTTGTTTCATGCATGCTAATAAATGCTGGTTAGTATCTTCATCTATCTCAGGATTTGTGCATGCAAACATAATCATTCGGCTCTCTCTAAGAATTCCACCGGGTTTTAGTTCACATGTTTCAAAGTCATCTTCACATTCAATAAATTTGCAAGCCTTGGCATGCCTCCACAGTTCAGTCAAGACATAGTATTCTTTACATTACGCACATTGAACGAAGTGCGATACAGGAACATTCTCTCCTTTCAGTGGTCTTTTAGCTACTAGGAAGGCTCCTTCTCCTGTTTGTAGAACCTTGCAATTAGGATAAAAAATTAATTGCCTAAATGGCGTATTTTTTCAGCTTCCAATTTTCGTTTTTGAAAACCTACTTTCAGGCTTATCATTTTGCTAACTTCAGCTTCATTACTGTGTTTCCTTTCAAGATGTCGTGACAGCTTTGTCTGTAGCTTCCCACAAAACAAACATGCATTTTTCTTGTCCCAAATCCTATTAAAGCCATCGTTAGAGGTAGAGGTTACTGAGCGTCCAATATTAGCTGCAATATAAAAATATAATTGCAAGAATCTTGTCTGAACACACATACTAACTGAAATACTAAATTCTCTTATTAATTTATAGAAAACAAAAATACCTATTGCTGATTCATTACCACTGTGTGTGTGTTACGAGCACAAAACAAACATGCATTTTTCTTGTCCCGAATCCTTTTAAATTAAAGCCATCGTTAGAGCTAGAGGTTACTGAACATCCAATATTAGCTGCAATATAAAAATATTATTGCAAGAATCTCGTCTGAACACACACTAACTAAAATATTAAATTCACTCATTAATTTATAGAAAACAAAAATACCTATTCCTGATCCAGTACCACTGTGTGTGTTACGAGACATCTCTGTAGTTGTGCCCATTACACTGCTTCTCTTTACTTTTGCTCCATCTCCTGTTTCTGCAATGTTTTTTATGTTAGTTCTAAATATAGTAAAACTCGACACTTTTGGAACCAGCATATTTGTGTCGACTTACGAAATGAAGACTTAAATGATTGTTTTCAAACCATGAGTACAGTAATGTAATCCATTTACAGTAATGTGATCCATTTACAGTTTCCTATAGATGAAACATTGATTCACAACTCATTGGCACATAAAATATTGCAGGAAAATTTAAAAGGAAATAATTATTCAGGTATTTATGAATATGCACAATTTAACAAATATTTAAGGTAATACAGTTATATTAATATAGAAAATTGTTGCCTTTAATGTATATTAGTCGTACGAAATATTTCGAAACATTCAAGTTCCAACAATGATCACTGTTATCCTGCTGTTATATATTATATATTCAGTTTTATACATTCATAACAGCTGTTCCTTCAAACCTTGTATGATTTTACTCGGAATAAGTTCAGGGAACAGGTCAACACTTGTATAATCTGATGTAACACCTGTAACATAAACAATTACTTTCCAACGTCGATTATGTAATAACAGCATAAAATCTGCTTGTGCTTCTCAAAGTGATGTGGTATATTCAAAAATACAAATATAAGTGGCACTTCTTTCATTCCTACGGATTTGTGAAATGTTATTATTATATGTGAAGGCATGTGTTACGGGGCGCCATGCAGGACANAAGATTCAATATTAAAGAACACATGACTAGAACATGAAACTTACAATATTATACTCCTAGAGAGAGAGGGGGGGGGATGGAGCTACTTACTATTCTTAATCCTGCTCCTGGGACATTGGATTTGGTACTGGGGGTAGCACTCAGATACTGTCTCAAATAAGTTTTGTTAAAAAAGAACTGCTCTTCACTACTACTTTAGCAAGATATACAGTTTCATTGACCAGCATTATCAATTTGGTGAGTTGTACATGGAATATTTAAAAGAGTCATGTATGACTGGTGGTGCGTTGTGTGAGTTTTGCTCTATGCATACCTGGAATGGTCCAGCCATTACAAGGATTCCGAGACCAGCCCCAGATTACAACCAACTGCCTGAGTATCACTACCAAAGTGTATTTGAGACCAGTTTGGATCAGCCTGGTGGAGAAACCAGAGAGCCGGATGACTTTCAACCTCGTGCTTGTCTCAAAGCAACTTATAGTGCTGGAGAGATATCACTCGATGATGAGACAGCAATCAGTGCTTTCGCTGACAAATACATTGTCACCATAAAACTGCTCAAGGAATATCTGTGCCATTTGACGAATTTGGACCATGTAAAGACAATTCGGAGTGGGAATAGACAAACACAGCAGCTGGTCAGAAAGAACAAGGCTTATTCTGAATAAGATTGGTATGACCTGGTGACAACAGTGAAGATGGGAAAGCTGAATGTTCAGGAGCTAAATAAATA